TAATTGTATTATGCCTATAACCTTCGCGTAAGTGCAAGCAATATGTTGACAAAGTTTTACCGCAATATGATGGACGGTATGGCGGCGCATGAAATACGAACAAACAAATATTAATTTTCATATATTAGATTTTTATTTCTATGAAGTCGGCTTTTTATTAAAAGTATATTTTTTCCTTTCTGTGAACTGTTTTGTCTATTTTTCTTCCTTGAAACAAGTATTTAACCGCAACAAAGACCCTACGTGACATAACTATAATTCGTTACACGTACAGAAGACACGATGTATATGTGGCTTTTTGAATTTGCATTGTATACTGAATTGATATTGAATATGCATATGGACTAGAGTGACTTGTCGAATGACTAGGGAACATTTATTATTAATTTTATTCGTCCGGTTTGTTAATGCTGACGCCCAAAGCAAAGTTACGCAGATTAGAATTAGATTTTACTATATTATAGCGAGCTAAAAAACTGAAAATAAAGTTATATTTTTACCACGCTGTGGGTTGATTGGCAGAGAATGCTAACTGGCATTAAGTCAGTCTTTCGTAACCTTTATGGTTAGAGCAATAAAGTTTTCAAATAAAAATAATAAAATATCTAAGGATAATTCATTCTAAGTGCTGTAATTTTTATAAATACGTAATTGAACAATATTTTCTCGAAAGAAAATTGCAATATTTCAGCGCGGATGCAGCTTTATTTAATGTGTTCGTAGCACGAATGGGTCGGCTCGACTGGAGAAGGACTACGTTTTTACTAACACCAGCGTGAAATAGCAGCTTAATGAACAGCTAAAGAATCGGAGGTCCTTTTTACTGGAAATTAGTCATTCCATCTTAGTCCTCACGGGTGACAGTGCATCTGAATTTTGATCTTCAATCGAGGATAGGTGCAGATGTCTATTGGCCACAACATATATTTTTATTTACAGGTGGAATGTGTGCTCTATTATCACCCCTATTCTATAAAATAAAACAACAAAAACAAATAGCTTTTTCGGTTATTTGGGTTCTGTTCTCAATGTAGGAAATTAGATATACGTATACAATTATACAATCATTAACAACGTATTCTGTGCAATCACTCAGTATTTTAAAAATTTGATATTGAATTACAATAATTTTAGCTCATACATCATTTTTGTTCCGCGAAAGACAAGGTCGTTAATCTCAATTAGACTCGAATTACATGCATGCATTTGTTTCGCCCTGTTTCACCTTTTACTGACTGCTGATTGGCAAGCAGTCACAATCGCTCCGTTGAGACGGGGGCATTGTACGTACTCTTGATATAATGACTGCTATTAACACTAATTGAGTTAAGGTAAAGTTAGGGCTTGTGTACGTCCCATTGCTGGGCACAGGCCTACCGTATGGTGAGTGTAGAGAACCGGAGACCCTTTTTACTGGAAACGGGGCATTCCATCTTAGTCCTCACGGGTGACAACGCATCTGTATTTTGATTCGTAATCGAGGATAACTGTAGATGTCTATGGGCCACAGCAACCACTTACCATCAGGTGGACTGTGTGCTCGTTTCTCACCCTTATCCTATAAAAGAAAACCTTCATTTTCTAAGAAGATTTCAGATTTCATTGCATGTTGTTGGACTTCACATGTTATCGATAGATTTATTTTTATTTTTATGCCTGATCACCTCGTCAGGGTTACTTACAATGTTTGTCTTAACTGTCGAGTATATGGTAAATCAGCACTAAAAATTGCAATTAACAATTTCATTGGTGCAGTCGGGGTTCGAACCCAAGTCTAAATATTAGTAGATAACCGAAGAGTATTTAGATTGCGTGTATGTTTATTTGACCAAACTAACATTAGATATAAAATTGTAGTCAAGGTGAATCTTAAGCACGTTAGCTACGTCTTTTTATTGAAGACTTGAAGGCTTGAAGCATTCTAAATTGAAGTGGTCTACAAAGCCTGATACTGATAAAGAAATATAATTTTTTCGTAGTAGCTACCAAAGACGGTAGAGTAAAACTCTTTGAATGTGTCCTTATGGATTAAAGTCAATTTTGCATACTTTAAAGTAGTATCAATAATAAAATGTAGAATAGCTAGCACGCTTACTAGACACTCTGAAGATCAAATGTTCCAAAATGTATTTTTAAAGGGGCATGTAGTATAAAAAAAAAAACCTATTTTGCCTTGTAGATTAACTTCAGTATTCTGAAATTTATTGTATGACAACGATTTGTATTATAAAATCTAAAGTTATCTGCCAGTGTCTGCAGCTTTGGGTCTACACTGAAAATAAAATGTTGCTCACGCCTGACCTGATAGTTTTTTCACCTACTAAATTTTACAATCGGTCATTTAACAGATAGACTTATTATGCAAATTAAAAGTGACATAACATTTAATGCGTGAGCTGATCGAATAACAAAATCGCTAGTAATAGCCTCTAGCGTGTTAGTGTGTTGAACTTGAAATCAATTTTTTGTTGACGAAACTCAGGTCCCGTTGCGCCGCTCGATGCCTGAATGTCTGGTCATTCGAATGACGATTGTGTGGGTGTGTTTTAAAACTGATGTATGTATGTATTATGTATTTATATATTATGCGAGATATCTGGCGTCGTTACATCACTATCATAACACTAATTAATCACAATTTGCATTTCACCTTTTACATAAAACATCCTTGGCGGTGAGGAACGAGCACAATGGCATCATATAATAAATATTGCAACCGATTCCAACATATTATGGCAAATTGAAACTAAAATCCATAAGGAAATAAGGTCACTTTTTTAAAATAATTCCATTGAAGTAATACTTTCATGTTTAGTGGATGTCACACCTAAAAGAGTATCGAGGTATTAGTACTTAACAAGTGAAATTTAAAAAAAAATAATGTATTTTTTTATATATGGCTTTTTTCATATTTATTGTCATTAAATTCTGGTCTTTGTTCAAAATCTCAAGTCTAGCTCATGAATAATTAGTTTATTAAGACTTAGGGAATCGCGTCCTAATTTGTAGCACAAGTACTCGCCACCGGGTCCACTGGACCCAGTATACCATAAGCTTATTCCAAAACTGCTTTATAAACGGAAATGGTTATTTTCTAATATAGATTTAATATGTGTAAAGAAAAATATAATTGAATCAGATACTAATATTTATTGCTTTTACTCAAACAAAAGCTGTTACAAAAATATGCTAAATTTCTCCATAGCTTTGTGACATGTTTTAGGATAATTTATTGTTAAAATTACTATAATTACTTATATCAAACACAATCTTCTATATTTTGTATGATGTATTTATATATTATGCGAGATATCTGGCGTTGTCAAAGCGAAATGATTATGTCTAACTAATTTCAATGAAATTTTGCACACTGTGTGCAGTTTTTTTTTATAAGATAAGGGTGACAAACGAGCACACAGTCCACCTGATGGTAAGTGGTTGCTGCGGCCCATAGACATCTACATCTATCCTCGTTTGCGAATCAAAATGCAGATGCGTTGTCACCCGTGAGGACTAAGATGGAATGCCTCATTTCCAGTAAAAAGGGCCTCCGGCCACCTGCACTCACCAAGCGAAACGCAGAGGTAAACCTCTACTTCACGCTGGTATTCTGTGAGGTCGTGGTACCACCCCGGTTCGAGCCGGCCCATCCGTGCGACAGCAAAAGCCGCCGCGTGGCTCTACCACTGTTAAAATAAGTAAAAGTTTGATCCAACTTGAGAGATAGGATAGTTTTTATTCGGATACTCAATATATTTTATTGCGAATTTAAGGATTTTTATAGGACAGTGGGCAAAGGGAAGCACAACGTCTGCATGGCCAGCTAGCAAATGTCATGATGCAATCAAATCATCCCGTGGATGTAGTAAGAGGCGACAGATGGAGTCTGAAATAGGAGATAGGTAGCATATAAGCAGATAATCATTTACCTGATGACAACTTAAAACAAAAACTGCGGTCGCCAACATGCCTGCCAAGCATAGCAACTATGGTAACCCTTCTTAAGAGACTATGAGAAAACCTATGTTCGGCAGTGTAAATCGCTGCTAGATTATTTTTAACATAAGGACTGGAGACCCTTTCTACTGGAAACCAGGCATATCGTCTTAGTCTTCAGGGATGACAACGCATCTGCATATAGATTCTTAATCGAGGATCAATGTAAATATCTATGGGCCACAGCATCCGCTTACCATCAGATGGACTGTGTGCTCGTTTGTCACACTTACTTATGTAAAAAAAATATATAACGTAAAAAGAAACGTATAATCACAGTTAAAGGTGAGTAAGATAGGATTTTCTTTTAACTACGAGGTTAAAAGAATTTTCGATTGAATGAACTTTGCGGTCTGTGACCATATTCACACCTCCACTCGTAATTAAAACAGTTTTAATAGACCACGAATCCTTACAAAAGAACACCGATTTGATTCACAAGGCTTTTGAAATAAAAAAAATCCTTAATTCAGTGGAAAATGTGGCTGGGTACTACCAACTCCTTGGGACCCTGTATCTTATGAACCTGCCACGCTTGGCACGCGGGTTGGCAATCGCAAATTTTTAACTCGTTATAAGAAGACGCTGCTGCCTATCTCCTGATTTGTTTCTATCTGTCGCCTCTTTCGACACCAAGGGGATGATTTGGCCTGGCGGATATTCTTACATTTTTACTTTTTCTTCATAAAAATTAAATCCAAACCCAAGCAAAGCTAAGTTACAGTAAATTGATTTTGCGTAGATTGGTTGTTCCAATCTACGCAAAATCAATTTACTGTATTAAAATTAGTAATTAAAAGCTAAACTTAGTCCGGGGTTAACTAATGATGTCAAACATCTCATTCTCGCCATGACCGTTGAAGCTGCGAAGTAAATGTGGAGAATGTAAGATAAGTTAAAAAAACTTAAGTTGGTTTAATTCAACTCGTGTTTTTTTTTTGTAATAGTCGTGTATTTTAAAACAGTTTTTCCATTTGTCTTTCAATTATACAATTTTCACTTACCTTTATCTGTTTCCGCCTGGAAGTGTATAAGGGCGTGTGCAAAAACCGTCAGTCTATAGTCACAACTGTCGCAACGCACGCTGAGGTGCCACACGCCCACAAAGCCGGTGGACACGTCCGTGTCGGGCGGCGTCGCCGGCACGACTGAAAGCCTGCGTTAGAAAAATATCGTTGTCTCTGTCACACGTACATTAAAATATTATTTTCAATACATTTTAATTACAAACAAGCTGATAAACCACCTGATTGTAAATAGCTGCAATCTGTTGATACCTGCAACAGACTTATAAGAAAGAAGTCTATGGGTGCGTTGTAATTTAGATGATTCCTTGATTGATTTTAGTCTTAGTCTGTAATTTGTCGGCTTTCCATACCCATCAAAGAGGAACACAATAGCGAATGTGCAGCTGATTAGAGTACCCAGATAGACTGCAAGGCAAAAAAAGAATTCCTACCAAATACTAAATGTCGTTTTGAAAACTTACATATCCACATCCGGTGCTCCTGGGAAAGCCAAGTATACGTCCCTTGGTGACCAACTGTCGGTCCTCGAACCCGAGGAAAATTCCTGCACTGATGTCGTGTTGTATAAATCCACTTGGGGTGCTGAAATCATACTACTGTGCTTAGAATCTACGGACGTCGGACAGTAAGAAAGCAGTATTAATTGTAGTTGAAATACAATATCAGGATTAGCAATTTGTTATTAAAACAAAGAACATTGCATTGATCTATTGTGAACAATAACTGAGATAATACACAAATTAGATATGCGTGTTTGAATTCATTTATTAAATCAGTGCAGTTGCGGTATAAGCAAATCTACTAGCCTATATCCCATTTGTTCAGTGTAATGCAATATACTTAGTTCAAAATTTTAAACTAGATGGCGCTATGTGAAAAAGTTTGCTTGCAAAGTGTATGCTGTGTAACTTGGCTAAATAGTGTTTAATTGAATAGTGCAATAGTTAAAAGTTGTACACGTGGTTGTCGGAAAAGGCCAGAGAGAAACTATGGCAAATAATGCTCCCACCTTCGATGAGGAAAACTGTTTGGCAGGCGTATATCAAAATTGTAAACTAAACATAAAGTACAATACATTGCTAAACTATATTGTATTATCGTACCATAAGTTTTTATATACCAATTACCAAAATATGTGAAATATGTGATACTTTATTATTTTATACCATATTTCTTATGATATATTTGTACCATATTTCTTATGAATAAATTTATAATTATTTTGAGGTATTTATATAATTTTCTCACCTGGTTGGGCTTCATAAATATATAAATGAAAATATTAATATACATAAATATCAGTACAATAAATTAATAATACATAAATAAATAAAAATCCAAGCAGATGGAAGCCCTCGGGAGGGGAAACTAAACGGCCGAGGGTTAGGGAAATAGGGCGAGAAACCGGCGGACGATGCAGGCGGTATAAAGGAGCAGCCTTCTGCATTTGAGCTTGGAGCGGTCCGTCACGAAGTCCCAGCCGCCGCAGATGACCCGAGGGGCTTATTATTATTATATTATATTATTATTATGTTTAGCTGTGGAGAATAAGGCGGAATTGTGTGAATATGACCTCAATCGGTCAAGTCGTTCAGGAGTTACACGATCACTAACAGACACTGTTACCGTTACGGTTACAGCGTATTAAAGTCCACTGCTGAACATAGGCCTCCCCCATAGATTGTCTCATAGAGAGGACATTTGCCATAGTTGCCACGCTCGGCATGTGGGTTGGCAACCGCAGTTTTTTAAATTTTTGTCGTTATCCTAATAACAGATCATAACAGCAGCTGCCCATCTCCTGATTTGTTTCCCTCTGTCGCCTCTTACGACACTCACTACAAGGTAGTGTATTTTTACACCGCCTCTACAAGGTACCTAACAGACACACCAATATATATATATATATATATATATATATATATATATATATATATATATATATATACATATATATACATAAAGAATTTTTTTATAGAATATGATTGACAAACTAGCATACAGTCCACCTGATTGTAAGTGGATGCTGTGGCCCATAGACATCTACATTTATCCTCGATTAAGAACCAAAATGCAGACGTGTTGTCACCCGTGAGGACTAAGATGGAATGCCTCATTTCCAGTAAAAATGGTCTCCCGTTTACTACACTCACCATATGAAACACAGCAGAGTTGAGCTGATATTCCGTGAGAGCGTGATCCCAGGTCTAGCCATCCAATCGTGCTACAATCATAATATAGTTCGAGCGTGGCTCTACCACGTCTGTAATATTTTGTAATCGTTGTAATATTTTTTGCCTTTTCTATTTACCCATCTAGGCAGATCTGCTAAGCTAAAATTTCACACAATGACGAAACGACCTTCGTGATCCGACGCGCACTAGCGCGACCAAATCATCTCCTATCATTTGCCATAACATATCTCGAGAACAATGTGAATACACTTGATGTACTGACAAGGGACAAGGGGACAAATTGTTCATAGTTATATTCATAACGATTTGCCATGGACGTTGCGTGTAGGGTTGTCAATTTTTATAATAGTTAAAATATTTACTAGAGTTTTGAGCACACAACTACTAATTTTATACGTGGTGGTAGTCTTGCTACAGCTATATCAATAGTAAAGTTGTAGCACGAATGGATCGGCTCGACCCTGGAAGGACCACGCTCTCACAGAATACCAGTGTCAATAGCTGTTTAATGCTGCTGTGTATCGTATGGTGAGTGTAGAGAACCGGAGACACTTTCTACTGCATACGACGCATTCCAACTTAGCCCTCACGACTGACAACGCATCTGCATTTTGATTCGCAAACGAGGATAGATGTAGATGTCTATGGGCCACAGCAACGACTTACCATCAGGTGGACTGTGTGCTCCTTTGTCACACTTATCCTATTAAAAAAAAATAAGTCAGTCATCAGGTGCAGTTTGCTCGTTTGACACCCTTAAGGGCCATCCTTTTATCACGTAAGGTTTTCGGGCCACTTTTACACCCCCCTCCCTCTCGCCCTTATGTTGATACGCCGTGAGGTTTTAAGACTTTTAAGCTACGCTATTATGTTCGTCTGTATAACTTTACAATTATCTTGATATATCGTTAGTGACGAAAAGACAATAAAACCGAAACATTTACATAAATTTAACCCAACTGGGTTCGAACTTGTGTACAAAAATTTTATTCGTTTCTTTTTAGTAGGGACACGTTCCGAACGAACGTTACGAAATTGGTATTGCAAAACAAACTCCATGATCAAGGCAATAACTTTGGTTATGCAATGGAAATAAACCATGAGCAACATTTGCTTTTAGCAGTGCCCAATATCAGTATTACGTATGTATAAATATACACTTTTTCTCTCCTAACCCCCATCCTCGAATTTCGTACTGTCTGTGTGGTAAGGAAGTTCGTTTCAAAAAGTAGTTTTGGTAACCCTAGCCGTCTGTATAGTTTATTACGCACGGTAATGTTTCCCGTTGGCGATTATTGAAGTGCTTATTCGATTGTTTGTTTGTTTTGCCCATTGTTATTACGTTCAGCGATCTTGCGGTTGACATATTAAATATTTTTTTTTATGTCCATTGTGTGTTTTAATCACGTAATGTCGCCACGATTGGTTAATAATATGAATTATTAGTCTTTTATGGTATTTTTTTTATTTGATTTCGACACTGGCGTTTTTTTTTTTTATAGGATAGGGTAACAAACGAGCACACAGTCCACCTGATGGTAAGTGGTTGCTGTGACCCATAGACATCCACATTTATCCTCAGTAAAGAATCAAAATGCAGATGCGTCGTCACCCGTGTGAGGACTAAGATGGAATGCCTCTTTTCCAGTAAAATGGGTCACCGGTTCTCTACACTCACCATACGAAACACAGCAGCGTTAAGCTGCTATTTTACGCTGGTATTCTGTGAGAGCGTGGTCCTTCCACGGTCGAGCCGACCCATTCGTGCTACAGCTATACTACTAATATAGCTGCAGCATGGCTCTACCACGTGTATTATTGTGATCAAATGAAAATATGGCTTTATGTTTAATGTGTTTTTTAAAGAATAAGGGTGATAAATGAGCCCACAGGCCACCTAATAGTAAGTGAATGCTGTGGCCCATAGACATCTATATCAATACACGGTTGAGAATAAAAATGCAGATGCGTTGTCACCCCTGATACCCTGACCCTGTCACCCCTGTCTCCAATACAAAGGGTTCTCTGCACTCACTATACGAAACACAGCACATAGCTGTTATTTCACGCTGGTTATTCTAGGAAAGCGTGATTTACTCTCCACTATAGCATAACTACCGTATGGCTCTACCACATTAGATCTGTATATGGACTTCGGAATAAAGATTATATCCTTATTTGATATAACAAAATGATTTTTTGTTTGCTTGTTCATCTTTTTGCGTTGCCATATCAATCACACTCTTACGACCGAAATTTTGATAAGTTGTGCACGCGTCCGTGAAGATATCTGACGAAAATTCATTTTCTTATGCATTTGTCAGATTACGATGAAATTTCGGTGAGCTGTGTTAAGAAAGTTGCAGGGCAAAGCTAGTATAGCATATAAAGATTGACCAAATATTTACAAAAAATTTTTTGTATATCAATGGACTGATCCAAAATATTCAAAATATCCAAAATATTCATTCATTTTCAACGTGGTAGAGCCATGCTGCAGCTATATTATGGTTGTAGCACGAATGGGTCGGCTCGACCGGGGAAGGACCACGCTCTCACAGAAAACCAGCGTAAAATAGCAGCTTAACACTGCTGTGTTTCGTATGGTGAGTGTAGAGAACCGGAGACCCTTTTTACTGGCAAAGAGGCATTCCATCTTAGTTTCCCGGGTGACAACGCATCTGCATCTTGAGTCTTTATTGAGGATAGATGTAGATGTCTATGGGTCACAGTAACCAATTACCATCAGGTGGACTGTGTGCTCGTTTGTCACCCGATCCTATAAAAAAATAATAATTTGGACGAGAACAATCAGGATATGGCGTTTTAGAAAGAAAGAAAGAACGAATGAAAGAATGTTAATTCGTTACTTCACACATTACAACTAAATAAAATCCGACATGATAATTGATTATACAGAAACATTTTTGTCTGAAATTTCTTTTTACTGTCCTCATCCGTATAATTCATGCTTTGAAGTTTAGCGGCAGTAAAAAAAAATATCAACGCGATTATAAATTTCTAAGTACCGTCATTTGGTGGGAACAGCGCGGCGTGGTCCACGGCGCCCTCGATGAGCACTCTCAAGGCGGTGACTCCAGCCTCCACAGGGATACCAAGAGAAATCGCTTCTCCACCTCCCCTCCACACTAGCAGAGTCTGAAATACAATTACAAGTTAATTCGCAATTTTTCGCACAGAACCTAATGTTTTATTTATAAAAGCAAATATGACAATAATGAAGTAGGCTCTTCTACTCCTTTTCCAGTGAAATTGTTAATTGCAATTTTAACTGCTGATTTACCACGTGCTCGGGCGGAGAGGAACAACTTCGTGAGGAAAGCTACATGTCTGAGAAATAAGAAAAATAATATTTCGAAGACATGTGAAGTTCGCCATCACGCATAGGGGCAGCGCGGCGAACGTTTCCTTGTCCCAACACCCTCTCAGAAATGTGAGGGAGGCCTGTGCCCAAGAGTGGGACGTAATAGGATGTAACTTTAACTTTTATACCGCCATCTATGACAAGTTATAAGATGTCTCGGAGATTTCCCATAGCTAAGACCGGCAACGCATCTGCAACACCCCTTGTGTTGCAGTTGTTCGTGGGCGGCGGTAGTCACTTACCATTAGGTGAAAAAAAAGTTACGTCTTACGACACCTACGGGATTAATTAGACTGATAGATTCTCTTCCAACACACGGGATGGCATCATCATATGATGGCACATTCATCATCATCATCATCATCCTTTAAGAGTTAATATGGTAGTTTGTTATACTTTCTCTGTACTGTAGTACTTGTACTTACATCAAAACCGTCTTCTATCTGCCGCATCCTTGCACGTCTTGGTGATAATAATGGCTCCGCTAGAGGCTGCCACTGTTGTAATTCCGCTTCTGATGGTAGACTGTTGTCCATGTCCTGCAACAATTACACTGTAGGTGTGATTCAAGTAGAATATAGAATTAAGAATGAAAGAGCAAAGAGTGACATATAATTCAGATTTTTTATTTATTTTTGATTTTTAGTATTCTAGCTCATACGTGGTAGAGCCATGCTACAGCTATATTAATAGTCTAATTGTTGCACGAATGGGTCGGCTCGACCGGGGAAGCACCACGCTCTCACAGAATACCTGCGTAAAATAACAGTTTAATGCTGCTGTGTTTCGTATGGTGAGTGTAGAGAACCGGAGACCCTTTTTACTGTGAAAGAGGCATTCCATCTTAGTCCTCACGGCTGACAACGCATCTGCATCTGATTCGTAAACGAGGATAGATATAGATGTCTATGGGCCACAGCAACCACTTACCTTCAAGTGGGCTGTGCGCTCGCTTGTCATCCTTATACTATAAAAAAAAAACACGGTCTCAAAAATAACTTCTTAAAGACTAGTAAAACGTTTTGTTTTCTTTCCTTACAATATTTTTTACAGAAAACCTCTGTTGTTATCTATATAGAATCAAACCTATTTTATACTATATTAAAAAAAATATATGTTTCAGTAGGCATTAAGTTTCGCTTTTTGTAATTCTTTATTATAATGTTATAGCCATTAAGGGCAGGTGTTCCAACCGCAATAAGTATTTACGTGCGGTCATCGACGGTGCGGCGTCGAAAAGTAAATATAAGTAATTTACTACATTTCTTTCGCGATTCGCGCATAAATTTGATGATTTTGCTCCTGGTAGATTATCTTCTATACATGCATCGATTACAGCCATAAAAGTCCATTGATGAACAGGGGCCTCCCCATAGAGTGCCTCGTAGGGGGTATTTGCCATAGTTGTAATGTTACTGTTAATTTACTTATTTCACCTCTCAGTGGGTCATGTGCGTTTGGTAGATTGCCTAATAGGGGGGATTTTGCCATAGTTGCCACGCTTGGCAGGCAGGTTGGCAATCGCACTTTTTTTAAATAACTAATGTTATTGTAATAAATAGCTCCCGTAACACTGTCATGACATATTTTGGTCTTAGCTTACAATGTGATCCTGTACTTACCATAACTTGTAACGAATAAGGCAGTACTTCCCCTTCCGTGTGCGTGGAAATATTCCTCAACTCTTGAAGCGCCGATTCAGACTCCGCTGACGGATGGCGAGGGTCCGTCCATATGGTGTATACCTGGTCAAACAAATTAAAAATAAAAGTAACATACTTAACAACATACAGCATACAGGGTGAAAAACTACCACACAGCCTACCTAATGCTAAGTGGATGTTGTGACTATAGACATCTACATCTATCTACGATTAAGAATCAAAATGAAGATGTGTTGTGTCGTCGCCCCCCCCCCCCCCCCCTCCCGAGATCTACTGGAAACGAGATATTCCATCTTAGTGTGGGTGGCCCATAGGCCACAGCATCCACGTACCATTAGGTGGATTGTGTGCTCGTTTGTCACTCTTATTATATAAAAAAAATACGTCTGAAACAACTTCTTACCATGTTAAAAACCTAGACGGCTCCATGGTGCAGTGGATTAGCATTGATAGTATCGTATGATCGTCGATTGATTCGTAACCCGCACGGAACAAGTATTTGTATAGTCTACAAATAATTGTTCCGGGTCTGGATGTTTGTCCTTGTGCAATTTATGTTTGAAAACTTTCCCCACGATACAAGAGAAAATCCTAGTGTGGTGGTAACGTTAAAAAAAACAACGAAAACGAAAAGTACGTGGTGTTGTAGTTCGTTTATAATTTAAGTTTTTCTTAGGTCGCTTTATATACTGTCTCACCTTGAGCCTCTTCTCGATCAGTGCTCGCAATGCCAGCGGCAATTTCTGCGGATCCCCTACGCCTCGGTCGGTGATGACGAAGAGTGCGCTGTCGTAAGGCACCAGCTTCGCGGCGTACGCCAGCGCCCTCATCGTTCCGTCGCTCGCCAAGTCTCTTCTTACCCCCTGGATAGAGAACAGATTTTCAATAATTATTTTTAAATATGTCTATTCTTTTAGTATATTTAGGTTTTTGGTCTTTTCCAATTTTTTATATATGTACGCGAATACTAAACATTTAATTAAACTAATTGTACGTATTTTATCGCGTATAAGTTATTTACAATTTGCGAAGTTTTGGGTGCATTACAGTATAGTCACGGAGGAACCAGTGGTAATTAAACAAAAGAGTGACTTTCAATAAGTATTGTTTATAATCTATATTGAATAAAAAATGTTTCTGTTTCTGAGATCCCAGTAAAGCAAAAGCACCCGCAATGTCGGCAATTAAAAATGAATAAAAACAAGTTAAATTAAATGCGATGGAATCCGTAAAATTAGTTTTATTGCATTGAGTTATATGTACTACGTACTAGAGAAGCCATTCCAAACAAAAATTGTGTCCTACTCTATGTCTTCGCGCATGCGCGGGAGTAGTAGTCGCGCATGCGCGAAGACTTTAATTTGATATAAAATAAGATATTAATATAAAATAAATATAAGAATTTAATATAAAATATCTTAGTTTAATCTAAACAAACATATTTCTAAATAAAATGTAATAATAATTATTTTATGGAATTCACAAATCTTCAATTTACGCAATATTTAGTTTGTATGGATTGCACTACAGTTCAGTTGAACATAGTCAATGTTCGGAATGGCTTCTCTAGTACGTAGTACATATAACTCAATGTTTTATTGTATGTTATTTTTTATGTATGTTGCTTGATATCTTCGTCAATTGTAATATGGTTTTAATGAGTCTTTTTTCATTAAATCGGTTGTACTTGTTCAGGGGAGGTCCTAGATAAATTTGAAGAAAAATTTCATATATAAAAGAGTAGAAATAGAGGCTGAAAATTTATTCTATTTAAATGACATTCGAGCTTGTGATATTGCAGAGTCCACTCGAAAGGTTCAAAAATTTAAAACTCGCTTCTAAGAGTAGAGAGTAGTAGAATTTATTTGTAGTTTCAGTTTCAGCTTTGACTTTTTTAATATATAGAAAATTTATTATTTAAAATTATATATAATAAAAGTTTAATTTCCTTTCTTACATCTATAGTACAAGGTTAAGGTATTTGTAATAAGTAAATTAGTGCTTGTGGCAGAGAGTCTCGTTTTCAAATGAAATTCGTGTAAATGTATGTATATACGTTGGGAAGTACATAACAGTTTTGAAAAAATAAATAAAATAGGATTACATGAGTGTAATAGGGTACATTGTTATTTTTGGTGACGAACGAGCACACAGTCCAGCTGACGGTAAGCGGATGTTGTGGGACATTTACACCTACATCTATCATCATTTAAGAACTAAAATGCATATACGTTGAATGACACCCCTAAGGACTAAAATGGAATGCCTCCTACACAATGAAAAAGGTCTCTGGTTCTCTACACTCACAATACGAAACACAGCAACATTCAGCTGCTATTTTACGCTGGTATTCTCTGAGGGCGTGGTTCTACTCCGGTCAGGCCGACCCATTCGTGCTGCAACCATTATATGGCTTCAGCGTGGCTCTACCACGTTAAATCTTTTATATAGAAACCAGTGTAAACAGGATTAGATAGATCGATTTGATGTTTTACGTTTAGTCGAATTAGATATAAACGACTGTCTTGGTGTTTTCTTCATGAATATTGTCTGACAAACAAACTTCCAGTTCATTAATTACCCATATGTCATATTGATTACGGTAAATACAGTTTTCGCCTTAAGTGATTTATATAATATTTGACATACGAGCCAACAGTGAACTTGGTAATAAGTTGATACATGTGTACATACAGTCATCTTGAGATGAAGGCGAGACTACGGACTTCCATTTGGTACAATCCTGACATCTTTCTCGCTTCCTCCACATCCATATTTTCTGCTTCTATCTATTCTATCTTGCCCAGATGGGCAACGTGCTCTTTGGTGAAGGGTACTCTTAATTTGGCCCGTTTTCAATATTTCACTAATTTGGTCGATAAACTTCCGACTAGAGCCAAGGCGTCAAGTCAAGTTCGAACGTAATACATTAATTTTGTAGGATTGTATATTAAGCAAGCTGTGTTTTACTTTGATTGTCATCATCTTCATTACAGCTCTTCACAAGTTCACTGATGAACACAGGCCTCCCCCAAAGAATGCCACAAAGCACGGTCCCGAGCCACCCGCATCCATTGACTTACCAGGTCGTCACTCCTTATAGTTTATTTTACTTTCAACTACACATTAGTATATAAAACGTAGATATCTCACATACAAAATACAAAATATCTTTCAAAAACAACGTCGTCTGTATAGCTTCAGTTAGTACTGCTACCTTTATCCAAATATATTACGAATGTATATATGTATGTATATGTATTAACGATAATAGTTATATGTGAATTACATATTATGTATTTGTTTCTATTCATATGTATTAATTTAATTTACAAACCTTATTTTAATATGTTTTATATCTATTTATATTTATTATATTTAGTTACTTAAGTCACCTGCCTCTGAAAAAAAAAACGAACGTTTGAAAGTATTAATATATTATATATTATAAGTAGCAGTAATTATTGTAGTAATAACTGTTGGCAAAGTTAAAAATTCGATGGTGACAATCTCTACACTGTGAGACTGTTTGACCACAGACATTTAATTTAATTTAATTTACTCTAAATATACATACATATATATATGTGTGTGTGTGTTTGTACAATATATAAATTTTAGCTCTCTGCACTTAAATAATTTATAAACTTTAAATATGCCAAATATCACCCTCCTCCGTGCGCGCACTAAACTTAAAAAGGGATACAAAGTTAACGACATGACACTTATTTTTTTCTTTTCTTTTTTCTTTAAAAAAAAAAAACGTTTTCCTCACACTAGGATTTTCTCCTGTGTTGTGGAGGCAGTTTACAAACATAAATTGCACAAGGACAAACATCCAGACCTGGTACAATTATTTGTAGGCCATACAAATACTTGTTCCGTGCGGGATTCGAACCCGCGGCCCCCAGCGCAACAACTGATTGTTAAGCCACTGCGCCACGGAGCCGTCACAATTTTAATTGCCGTTAGAGGACCCTGTATCTGTTTGCTTTCGATTTGTAAAACCTTTTTGTTCGATGATGACGTATTTGGTCATTGAATAGATATGTACTACATACTAGAACAGACACCGCAAACAAATTCTATGCGCCAGTGCGACGCGCGTCCCCGGAGGCACAGAGTACCTTTTTACGTGGTAGAGCCATGCTGCAGCTATATTATGGTTGTAGCACGAATGGGTCGGCTCGACCGGGGAAGGACCACGCTCTCACAGAAAACCAGCGTAAAATAGCAGCTTAACGCTGCTGTGTTTCGTATGGTGAGTGTAGAGAACCGGAGACCCTTTTTACTGGCAAAGAGGCATTCCATCTTAGTCCTCACGGGTGACAACGCATCTGCATCTTGAGTCTTTATTGAGGATAGATGTAGATGTCTATGGGTCACAGTAACCATTAACCATCAGGTGGACTGTGTGTGCTCGTTTGACACCCGATCTTATAAAAAAAAAATGGCACAGACTAAATATATGAGCCGTGGGCTGTAAACGCATGTTGGAACAAAATCTATGCGGCAGTGCGGGGCGCGTGTTCGGAGGCACAGAGTACCTTTTTATGGCACAGACTTAGTATTTGAGCCGTGGGCTATAACGCGTCTTGGAACAAAATCTATGCGGCAGTGCGGGGCGCGTGTCCGGAGGTACAGATTACCTTTTTATGGTACATAGGCTGCATTAAAAGTATCGGGAATGGAATATTTTCACTGTTCCTGTCATATTAAAAACTTTTTAATTGAAAAGTCCTTGGTTTTAAAAATTGAATACCATTTATTTATTTAAAAAAAGATTCTCGGTCATGTCACAAGGTTTTGTCAAACTTGTTTAGTCGTTGAGAAAATGGAATTGACTCGAGAAAATTCAAGAGCGATGATTTATTATGACTTTCGAAGTGGCTTAACACAAAAACCGTGTGTTGACCGGATGATTTCTGCATTTGGTGATGAGGCCCCATCCAAAACCACAATTTATCGCTGGTTTGCTGAATTTCAACGTGGACGTGTCAAGCTCAGTGATGATCCCCGTCAAGGTCGTCCAAAAACTGCAGTCACCCAAGAAAACGTTGATGCTGTGCGTAAGCTGACTGAGGAAGATCGACATGTGACATACTGCGAAATTCAGGCAACTTTAGATATTGGCATGAGTCAAATACAAATAATCTTGCATGAACAATTAGGTGTAAAAAAGTTGTTTTCCCGATGGATACCGCATTCGCTCTGTGAAGAGCAAAAAGCGGGTCGCGTTACTTGGTGCGTCAGAACTCTCGAAAGATTCCACGCAGGATCCTCAAATGCTGTATACAACATCGTATCAGGTGACGAATCCTGGATATACGAGTACGAACCCGAAACAAAAAACCAGTCACGAGTTTGGGTCTTCGAAAATGAGTTAAAGCCAACGAAAATTGTTCGTTCACGGAGTGTTGCAAAAAAAATGGTGGCCACGTTTGTGTCCAAAACCGGCCATATTAGGACTATTCCTCTTGAGAGACAAAGAACGGCTAATGCAGAATGGTATGCTAGCATTCGTTTGCCACAGGTCGTTTCTGAACTCCGTAACTCTTTACGGAGTTCAGAAACGACCTTCTTCTGTTTTCTACGAGTTCTCTAACTGCAACCGACGGATCATCCTCCATCACGATAATGCGAGTTCTCACACCGCACACAGAACAAAAGAGTTTTTAGAGCAAGAAAACATAGAATTATTAGACCATCCGCCGTACAGCCCCGACCTAAGCCCTAATGATTTCTATACTTTCCCTAAAATAAAGAATAAATTGCGTGGACAGAGATTTTCATCACCTGAAGAAATTGTGGACGCCTACAAAACGGCCATTTTGGAGACCCCAACTTCCGAATGGAATGGTTGCTTCAATGATTGTTTCCATCGTATGGAAAAATGTGTCAAATTTCGCGGAGAATACTTCGAAAAGCAATAAATACATTTTTAAATAGTAACGTTGTGTCACTTCCTTGATTCCCGAAATTTTCAGTGCCGCCCTCGTACAGACTAAGTAAGTTTAAGCCTGTGGCTCCCACGCGTGTTGCAAACAATCATGTCTCGGTACCTCTTCTGGTACGTAGTACATACTTCAATGTGTTTGGTATTGTACGATTCCGTCAGCCGAATTATTTCTGTCTTTATTAAAACGATGCGTTAAATTTAACAAATACAATTAACATAATGTCGACGGTGTGTTATGTCTGTTACGATTGTCCACGCTTTGTGATAGCATTGTTGGGTCGATCACGACTTGATGTCATTACTTACCGACGGTATGCTTAAGGTCGAAAACCTCATGTCAATAGTGTTTTAGTCATACTTTAAATTAGTATAATAGACTGTGCACCTTCGTGGCGGTATCTGACTTCACGCGGTCCTGTGAAATGGTTTATTTATAACCACAACACAACTTGCTAAAACGCCTCCCACCATAGATTGCCTCACAAGGTTTTTGCAATCGTTGCCTCTCTTGGCAGGCGCGTTGACAACCGCAGTATTTTTTGATTTTAAGTTGTAAGGGAAGATGCTGCTGTATATCTACTGTTTCAGTTTCCCTCTGTCCTCTTTTAGGAGAACCATGGAAAGGTATAGGGTAGTTGATATTCTTACCTCTCCACTACACAGTCAAGGGGTTGGGTGAGTTCGATCACTAATGGCACCACGGAAATTATTTATCACAATCAGTTGCTGATTTACCAAGTGCTCGGCGATGAAGGAAGTCTGCCAATACGAATCGGGGCAGCAGCGTGGCGGATTCTTCGCTGGTGTAAAACGCTCAGAAATGAGAGGAAACCTGTCTTATCTAAAATTCTTAGAAATGAAAATGAGTTCTTGGCTCTACTGTAGGTTATATGTGCGCCAACTCACGTCCACTGCTAACAGACTATTAATATCTTCTTTTTGCACGTGCCAAAGTTTTTTGCTTTGCCCCCACGGTTGATTTGGTAGGGAATACAGAAATTCTTCTCTACATTAAAACCCTCTTATAGATGAGAGAAGGTTTATGCCTCGTCGTGTGATTTATATGGGCTACTTTTACAAGAACACATTCCCCAAGAGATTCTTTAAATGATGGTGAAAACCCCATCAAAATTCGTCAAGTAGTTTTAAAGTTATAAGCGAACAGACACACAGACAAAGAAAAGCGATTTTGTTTTAATTTTTTTTGTAATACTAGTGTCATTACCTGGTATTTAAGGATGAGTTTTGATAGTGCTTCTGCCACACTTCTATCTCCTCCTAAGCTATTTGGTTGAAGCGTGTGCCGAGATCGCCAGTTGATACCTGATGAAAGAAGGGAAATTAAAGGCATTAGGAATTTCATTTACACACATGCCACGCTGCACCTATATTATGTTTGTATGTAATGGGTCGACCTGACCGGGGAAGGACCACGCTCTCACAGAATACCAGCGTAAAATAGCAGCTTAGTGCTGTTGTACTTTGTATAGTGAGTGTGTAGAACCGGAAACCCTTTTTACTTGAAACGGAGCATTTCATCTTAGTCCTCAGGGGTGACAACGCATCTGGTTTTTGATTCTTTATTGGGGACAAATGTAGATGTCTAAGGGACACAGAATCCACTTAGTGGATTCTGTGTGCTCGCTTATCACCCTTATCCTATAAAAAAGTTCGTTTGTCATTCTTATTAATTAAAAAAAAAAAACGAAACACGCTGGTGTTTTGCTTCATGACAGTAGTTGAATAGCAGATGCGTGTTAACGATTTTTTTTAAAAGTGTGCCATTAATCTACCGTCGCTTCATGTGGTTAGTAAGGGCTAGCAAGCTACCAAGGTTCATTTTTCCTTTGTCTCTAACGAAGGAACCCTGAGCCCTATTGGGAAGTACGCGCTGTCACTACTGGTCATTCGTCAGTACGGGTTAACTGGAGCGTATCGGTGTTGATTTACATAATTACCTCTCACATTCACTGGCCAAGGTCGGTCATATCGCAGTCGCGGAGACTAGAGTTATGTGGAAATTTATAGAAATGCCCTACGGGTCAAGGTTTTGCGTAGACGGACCTCATTGTAATGAGAGGAAGGGCTGGAATCGGGATCTTATAGATCGGATTGCGGATTTGTTATTTTAAACACGGGGATGGATGGGCGTTGGCTCTCACGTGTGTCATATCAGTGGTAGTTGACTACCCCGTTGGTGTAGTGGTCGAAAGCGTGACTGCTGAACATGTGGTTCCGAAATCGGGCCGTAATCAGTCAAGCCGCGTATCGATTACGCTCTCCAAGAGGTTGAACATTGGCGCGCGCTCCAGCCGCGCGAAATGGATCGGTATCCATTTCCTTGGAGCGCACGCCACATTGTTTGTGGAGCGCTCGAACATGGAGCGGGCCGCTTGGTGTCGGTTTTTTACCACGTATCAAAGTAGTTTAAATTTTGGCGCGCGCGCCAAATGGCACGTTTGTTTTCATTATTTGTGTGTTCGTTGCGTTCTGAGCTATGGATAAACAAAGTTGCCCTAAATTAATACAATTATATAGTTTAAGATCTGTTGTGGAATAGCAAAAGTAGGTTTTATCATAATAAAGCGCTCAGAGAAGACGCATAGAACTATGAAAGCGGCAGCTATACGTACACGACCGACATCCATGTTGAACGGTCAAACACTGGCGCGGCTGCCGCGCGCGCCAGTCGCGCTTAGTTAATACACATTGAACTTTTGGAGCGCGTTCCGCGGAGCGCACTGGTCCGAGCGGTCATTAGTGGCGCGCTCGACAGGAGCGCGAAATAGATACGCAGCTTCATTGGTTTTTTTTTGTCAAGTAATTCCCAGTAGCAACCCGAAATTGGGAGTTGGGCGGTGTACCCCTGCGCCTCGGAAAAGACGTAAAGCCTTTGACTATGCGCCCGATCTCTCTCCGGTCTGGTCGTGTCGGATTGCCACCCTACCGGACTATAGAATCTCATCTTAAAAGAGACCTGTGCCTGCGCATTCACTCCTGAATGTATCCCGTCCTGCGCGGATGGCTTGGCTCCGTTGAGACTGGCCGCCGTAACATAAATTCGGTCTGGAGAATATTATAATTAATATTATAGCTGGTAGCAGTTCCTGCTTGTGGGGGCTGATCTGAATTTTTACATCTACTTTTGGGTCTATATATTACTATTATATATTTGGGAAAATATTTTTCTCCGCTTTTTCTCTGATCAGCTAGGCTAGTATGGGCATGCGACAATTTTATCCCCGGAAAAGGAGAAAATGTTTATCCCCTCGCTTAGTTTTGTACACCCTTCGAGCATGGGCACACCGGTGGACCACTGTAGATAAAATGGGAGATAGACTTGGACTGTAGATAGATTTTTTATATGAATACTAGCTGACCAGGCAGACGTTATTCTGTCCTTTCCGAACGACTATTTGCTTTCCTAAAAAAACTTAAGGGTCACTTATCGGGATAAACACTATCATATCTTTATATATAAAAATTACGTGTCACGTTGTTTGTCCGCGATGAACTCCTAAACTACTGAACTGATTTCAATGAAATTTTGCACACTGTGTGCAGTTTGGTCCAACTTGAGAGATAGGATAGTTTTTAGCCCGATAAATGACCCTCAATATTTTTTTATTAGGAATTTAAGGATTTTTTATATGAAGGGTCGTCGAAAAGAGTAAAACAACGTCTGCCTGGCCAGCTAGTATAAAGATAAACTAAATCCCACGTCCAATGAACCCTGAAAATCGTCCCTTTCAAATGTCAAAAAAGTACAATTTTTTATCTTTCATTCGGCTCCATGCTACGGACGGGGGGATTTTCGTGCTTTGGCATAAGGACAAGATAATTTTATCTCTTGTCAGTGGATATAATCGGGGGATACATTTTTTGTCCCCAGCCGATGCTGGCTGTGCAGAGGAAGCTCATATTTAAACGGTGACGTTTGATCAACGAAATTTTGCTACGTAAAGAGATTTCACCTTATTTAATTAAATATCTATAATTATTATGACAAAATAATCAGTGTCTGCTAACCCGGCTGCCATTCTGCCTTACAATCAACAAGCTGTCTCTTCAATACCACCACTCGACCATTTAAAGATTCAATATTTATTTTATGCAAAGTTTTGGTAGCGCAACTAATTCTATCACATCACGGCATATTCTAAAATTAGACAAAGAAATATATTTGAGTCTCAAAGCTGAATAGTTAGCTATCCTTCTCTCAAATCTTTCCTGCTATCACCAATCTTCCTTATTATATGGTGCAGCCAAACTGTATTATGGCACTAGCAATTGAAGTAATTTGTGTACATAAGTACAATATGTGATTGACATCATATTCAGACATTATCATTGACACGTGCCATATACTACGTTAATATCATCTCACAGGATATTGACATGTTTACATGTAGTCAGACGAAGTTCACAATTGCAGCATACAAATGCGTTGAAAATTGTAATTTTTTGGAACGAAGTGACAAAAAGTGTAAGATTTTTTCGTCACTACCCCTTGTGTCATAGTGTATTTTATTTTAAATGACGCTTCATTTTAATAGACGCTAATAATTAATTTATTTACATGTGTATTTATTAATATATTTTTTTATATATACTGACCGCGCGGGCGCAACGCGCTTTTAAATCAACTGCGCATTCGCGACTTTACTATCTCCCGCGCATACGCGAAGACAGAGTAGTGCACATTTTTTGTTTAGAAAGGCTTCTCTAGTACGTAGTACATATAACTCAATACTTTAATGATTTTAATCAAGGATTGATGTGAGTGTCTATGGGATACAGCATTTACTTACTAAGAGCTAAACTGTGTGTTCGTTTGTTACCCATAGTTATATAAAATCCTGCTAATAGAGGAATCGTCCCAAATCCTTTAATTTGTATGATATTAAAAAAAGAACGATACAACAATTTTGCGCCATTTTGTCCAAGTCCATAACGTTTTTTATGCCTACTCTGTAATTTTATTTTTAATTATATCAATCAAGTCACGTACTTGAATTTGCTGCCAGCAATTTAGTAAATTGTTTTATTTTTTAAATTATGCTATAAATGATTTTAGAGTATGATTCGTTGTTTAAATTATTTGTAATCTGTAGTAACGCAGTTACTATCATATTGTTCTGTGTCAGTAGTATGATGTAAACTTGATGAATGTATTGTTCAAGGTATTTAATTGCTGTTGTGTTATTACAAACGTTCCGTGTTATTTATGTACTAATTTATTAAATTTTCTCTAGGCCTTTACTGTGTGGCTTAGTGGTGTAAGAATACGTGGTCGCTATGTGACTCGGGTCCTTGTTTCGAATCCTAGCCAGGAAAACTTTCGTCTAAGCACATACCATATACAAAGAGAACTCATGACTACACTTCGCCCGGAAAGTGAGTAAGAGTTTGTAAGAGGCGACTCTGGGATGTGCTAAAATTTTTTATCGCTTCTTCTCTATCTCTAAATAGGTAGTATAAAACAAATTTGCTTACCGATGTCTGTACGCTTAGATGTTTTGAACTACTCAACGGATTTTGATGCGAATTTCATCAATAGACAGAATGATTCAAGAGAAAGATTTTTCTGTATAATACATCATATTATATATTATATAATTATTCAGTATTATACATTATATTATATATTATATAAGTATGTGACTGAACTCCTAAACGGCTGGACCGATTTTGATGAAATTTTGTGTGTGTGTGTGTGAGTGAGTGCGCGTGCGCGTGCGCGTGCGCGCGCGCGCGTGTGCGTGTGCGTGTGCGTGTGCGTGTGCGTGTGCGTGTGCGCGTGCGCGTGCGCAGATCCAGAATACAACAATGCGAAGCCGTGGCGGATTGCTATTCCTATATAAGGCGGTATGATCCCCTCGTAAAACCCAGAACACTCGGTGACAGGAAGCAGAGTCTTATAGTGATACTGTTAGCGTTACAGCCTATTAAGGTTCACTGCTTATCATAAGCGCCCCCCCCCCCCCCCCCCAAAGATTACCTCGTAGAGAGCATATTTGCCATAGCTGACACGCTTGGCAAGCGGGTTGGCAGCCACAGTTTGTTATTTATCGTCGTTATTAGGATGACGTCTGGTTCTGCGGTTGTCAATACGTTTGCAAAGCACGAAATTTACAGCATATTTTTTGTACAATGGGAGAGGTTCTTTTTTTTTCAAGGATAAGAGTGACAAGCGAGCACACAGTTCACCTGATGATAAGTAAGTGTTGTGGCCCATAGAATCTACATTTATAAGAATCCAAATCCAGATGCATTGTCAGCCGTGAAGACTAAGATGATATGCCTCGTTTCCATTAAAAAGGGTCTCCGGTTCTCTACACTCACCATACGTGGTAGAGCCATGCTGCAGCTATATTAGTAGTATAGTTGTAACACGAATGGGTCGGCTCGACCGGGGAAGGACCACGCTCTCACAGAATACCAAAGTAAAATAGCAGCTTAACACTGTACTGTTTCGTATGACCGAGTGTAGAGAACCGGAGACGTTTTTTTCTGGAAACGAGGCATTCTATCTTAGTCCTCACGGGTCCTCATCTGCATTTAGATACGTAATCGAAGATAGATGTAGATGTCTATGGGCTACAGTGACCACATACCATCAGGTGGACTGTGTGCTCGTTTTTCACCCAATCCTATAATAAAAATACGAAACAGCAGCGTTAAGCTGCTATTTTACGCTGGTATACAGTGAGAGCGTGGTCCTGCCCCAGTTGAGCCTACCCATTCGTGCTACAACTAATAAAGCTGCAGCGTGGCTCTACCACGTATAAGCTGTGAACTTCCAGTCCAAAAATGTTTGAAATACCTGTATACAGATTTTAACTTAGTTAATTTTCATATTTGTTGTTTCAGGTAAGAGATTTCCCGAATTGCTGAGTCCTTCTGCGTTAGTACTAATTATTTTACATATTTCTGCCGCTACGGCGTGATCGTGGAGCAGGAAGAATTTCATATTATTACAATTCATATAAATGTGAACTTTAATAACTTGAGAATAAACTCGGTTTTCGAATCACAAATACTGTTCAAAAGGTTCTAAACGATTTTAGTTGCAATAGAAATAAAACTTTTTAAGATGGTAATTAAGTTTAAAAATGCAAAGCAATGAAAAAAAAACTTGGACCGAGACCGTGCTTTTATTTAAATATTGTATATCTACCAATATATTCTGGTACATGATAGAGCCAGACATAAATGCATTAAATATCAACATAAGAATAAGTAAACAATACGACACGAGATCTTGACGTAATTTCTTACGATTTAACATAAAATCATGACTAACATGTTTATATTCGTTGATGCTCCATTAGCATATGCAAATAATGTTATATGCCGTAAATATAATATGATATTCAAGTAGACATTATGTAATTCAGTATAATTTAATGATAGTGTGACAGTAGTGGTCTTACCAAGTAGTCTCAGATATTACGTTTTTTTTTTATAGGATAGGGTGACAAACGAGCACACGTTCCACCTGATGGTAAGTGGTTGCTGTGGCCCATAGACATCTATATCTATCCTCGTTTGCGAATCAAAATGCGGATGCGTTGTCACCCGTGAGGACTAAGATGGAATGCCTCTTTTCCAGTAAAAAGGGTCTCCGGTTCTCTACACTCACCATACGAAACACTATAGTGTTAAGCTGCTATTTGACGCTGGTATTCTGTGACAGCGTGGTCCTTCCCCGGTCGAGCCGACCCATTCGTGACACAACTATACTACTAATACAGCTGCAGCATGGCTCTACCACGTAAAAAATACGTGGTTTATACATTGTGCAGCCAAGTTGCAGCTATATTATTATGGTTGTAGCACGAATGAGTCGGCTCGACCGGTATAGGACCACGCTTTCTCAGTATTTACATTTTCTACCGACTTCAAAAAGGAGCCGGTACTCAATTCTACTGTGTTTTTCTCTTTTTATGTGTGTTACCTCATAACTTTTTACTGTGTGAACCGATTCGATGATTCTTTTTTTATTTCAAAGCTAGTGCTTCACATGTGGTATAAATTTCATATAAATTTGAACAAGGTCTGACCAATAGTTTTTGAGTTATTTTTAATAATTTATGTTGAAGCCGGTTGTAAAAAATTTTTGATTTTAAATTATATTTACACCGTAATTTTTTTTAGTCCTCAGTGGTGAAAACGCATTTGAATTTTAATTCTTAATTGAGAATCGATGTTTCTTGTAAATAAATTCGAATAATTAATTCTCCGTAACTTTCGAAGATGTCACTGAATCGGCTAAAAAAAAAAACACCGTTTACCGTCCTTGTTGTAGAATGCACGCCATTATAACGGTACGAAACAGACTTGTACAAGAACTGGTAATTTTATCGCATTTCAATAAATTTACGTAACTCCGAAAAACCTGCGGGAATCGACAATTCTTATCGTTCATTGTACCGAATTTAAGGTTCGATTAGTATAATATTCGCTATCGATTCTGCGTTGGTAGTTGGCTGATTTTTAACCGACTTCAAAAAGGAGCAGGTACACAATTCGCCTGTATGTTTTTTATGTGTATTAGCAACTCATGGTCACGGGGAAGACTAAGATGTTTGACGTCCCGTTGTAATAGTTAGCTCGGTTATAACCTGTCGGAAATATCTGCGAACCTCGCTGGAATGCGCTTCCCCTCGCGCTTCCCCGCACCTCCGCCCGTTATCGTCTATCCAGTACCGTTGCCATCTCTCCATATTGCATGACGTCATCAAGCCAGGTTCGCAGATATTTCCGACAGGTTATACCTATAGTTTTTGAATATTAATTTTTGGTTAGATCTACGCAGAATGAACTTACAGTATGCTGAAGTCTTGGAGTTGTATGCTTGGGTTTGGATTTAGTTTTGTTAATTATAGCATCCCAAGCAGATGGCAGCACCCATCCATATTCTCTATTGAAATTCGGATGTTTTTTTTTAATTTCAATAGTCTCTCGTATCATTCTTGGTAGGAATCGGTGTTCTTTTGCGAGGATTTGTGGTCTATCAAATCTAATGTAACACATTAGATTTGATAGACACACACAACATTTATTCAATATGTTAATCATAATAAAATTGTAAATACTAGGTGTTAAGACTTCTTTTCTGACTGTTAGACCGTCCGGGTAGGTGCCACCGTCTTACTGCCGCCAAATAACAGTGTGCTGAGTTTCCGTCTGAAGAGTATAAGAACTAAGTATAAATTACACAAGATTTTTTTCGTGAGAGCCGTGGTAACTCGGAGGTTGAGCGTTCGCTGTAATATTGCAATTTTAATGGCTTAATTACCACGTGCTTGGCGGTGAAGAAAACATCGTGAAGTTCGCCAACACGCATTGGGGCAGCGCGGCGGAGTTTACTTTGCCCTAAAACCCTCTCAGAGATGAGAGGAGGCCTGTGCGCAGCTATGGGACGTATATAGGCTGGATCTTTAAACTTTTATAAATTACATACTACGAGGAATACCATCTTAGTGAACAACGAATCTGTAGCATCTTTTCTGCCGACTTCCAAAAAGGAGACAGTACTCAATTCGACTGTATGTTTTTTTTTTATGTGTGTTACCTCATAACCTTTTACTGGGTGAACCGATTTCGATGATTCTTTTTTATTTGAAAGCTGGTACTTCTCGTGTGGTCCCATATGAATTTGATCAAGGTCAGACCAATAGTTTTTGAGTTTTTTTCCTAATAACTTATATTGAAGTCGTCTGTACAAAATTTTTAATTTTAAATTATTTGAAGATAGCTGCAGTTCTCCATCGACTGCAATATATTTGTAATATGAAATGATATAAACATTTGAATTTGAATCTTAGCTACTAGAAAATAGCAGCCATAAAGCAGTGAGACGTTATATACCGTTTTGTATTTCGATTACGGAATCCTAACAAATGTTGATATTGATAAGTTGGGTGGTGCAGTTAATGCTACGAATATACGCACGCACGCATCGTGCTTGACATTTCGAGTGAGCACCTGTAGACTCCGAAGGATAACTGGGTGGATTCCAATAAACCGTTAACTAGGATTCCTTACAGCCGTTTTGTTTACATTGTTTAATATAAGCCATGTTAAAAACGGTATATCCAAGTTTTAACAGCCACGCTGCAGCTATATTATTGTTGTAGCACAAATGGGTCGGCTCGTTCGGGGAAAAGGACCACGTTTGCACAAAATACCAGAATAAAATGGCAGCTTAATACTGGTGTGCTCCGTATGGTGAGTGTAGAGAACAGGAGACCCCTTTTTACTTAGTTCTCAGGGGCGACAACACATTTGTATTTTGATTCTTAATCGAGGGTAAATATGGGCCACAGCATACAATTAGCATCAGGTGGATAGAGTGCTCATTGAATTGGTCAAATCTTATAATATGTAATTTATAAAATCGTTGGCGCGTCTGTCAGTGATAGTGTAACTTCTGACCGATTGTAGTCATATTCATTCATATATTTGTGTTGTTGACCCGATAGTTCATAGCTATTTTAAAAACCGATAGGTGGGGTTGTAATCAAGTCAATTCACAAATTTTATATTTATAGAGTCAAATGACACATATTCACGGTATATTATGTTAGTTTAGTGCCAAAAGTCACAAAAAATAAACCATATATGTAGGTCCTCGCTGGTTATTTCAAAGACGACTGTCTAAGATGAAATGCCTCGTTGCCAGTAAAAAAGGTTTCCAGTTTCACAATTGTATGCTCTGTCCTGTAGCTATAATAAATTAAATAACATGGCTCTACCGCGTATAAGAGACACACACAGACGGTGATGCCTATTATTACCCCTTACCGTTGGAATCATATCCGACAATTACAATATCGCTGATTTTCAAAGCTCCACCAGCGGTCAGGTCGTTCCACACGTCCAGTGCTCTCTTCAGGGCTTTTGGCCTCAGCGGTACTAGGAGTCCAGCGGGCGGACGGAGCCACGAGTCTTCCAGCCAGGATCTTAGGGTGGTGCTCTTGCTGACGATTGGTGTTGAGCGAGGTTTCGCTTCGTTGTTCCGCTTGTCCAGCGTTTGTTTGGGGTCCGCTGAAAATAATATTGGGTTTAATTTTTTTTAAATCTACTTGCGATGGTAGTTTAAGAGAGTTCATTGCAGAAAATTGTTTTTTTTATGGAATAAGAGTGACATACGAGCACACCACCACCTGATGGTACATCTATGCTCGATTAAGAATCAAATTTATGCGTTGTCACCCGTAAGAACTAAGTTGGAATGCCTCGTTTCCAGTAAAAAGTGCCCCGTTACTTTACACTCGCCATACGAAACACAGCAGCATCCGATTGGGTACCATATTTTTATTAGCATCAGAAGTGTAGGTACGGCTGTGTTCCGGTGTACAGAGCCAGTTTAATCACTGGCTGTGAGGCATTCTGTCTTAGTCCTCACATGGGACGACACATCTGTAGGCTGCATTGTTGGAAATTGGTTGTAGATATAGCTGGGCTGCAGTAACCACTTACCATCAAGTGAACTGTAAATTTGTTGACCATTTGAATTAAAAAAAAATATCAGGTTGGTTGCGCTTGCAACGGCCCATGCTGCAATGTGGCAGTTGCAAAACCAGATATACATTTTTGGCTATTTCAATTATTGTTCTGTTATTAAAAATCTCATATTTCAGGGGTAAGGGGGGCTTAATATAAATATTAAGAAAAATTTCCTCACCAAAATATTCCCTGTTTTTTGTGTTTGTTTTGGGGATTTAAGTCATCGATAAACTATTTCTTCGTTCCGACTTTAGAAGCTATAGTACTCGTATGTGAAAATTAGTTAGTTGGTTTTGAAATATGTAAAAGTTTATATTAAGTATTATATCTCCTAAATGACACGGGTAATTTAAATTCTTAAAAGTAAAGTAAAGTAAAGTTGCAGCCTAATTACGTCCCACTGCTGGGCACAGGCCTCCTCACATTTCTGAGAGGATTTTAGGGCAAGGAATTGTCCACCGCGTTGCCCTAATGCGTGTTGGCGAAGTTCACATGTCTCCGAAATATTTTTTTTTCTTATTTCTCAGACATGCAGGTTTCCTCACGATGTTTTCCTTCACCGCCGAGCACGTGGTAAATCAGCACTTAAAATTGCAATTAACAATTTCTTTGGTGCCGGCGGCGATCGAACCCGGGTTGCTCGAGTACTGTGAAGCTTACAGCGAGCGCTAACCATCTGAGCTACCACGGCTCTAAAGTTCTTCATAAAGAGTAGGGTTATTTAATAATCTCGGTATAAAAAAAAAACTAAATTACGAGCGCGGTACAAGTGGCGACATCTGTGGGGAAAGTTTGCAATTTACTACAAATTTACGACGCGCGTGACGGCCGCCATGTTGCAGGTTGTTAATCATTTCGAAAGTGAAAATTAATGGGGTACTGTCCAGTGGTAAATATTAACTTTGGACACCTTGCTTATTTATTGAGTGGTTTCCCTTTTGATTTATTTACTGGTTAAGCTGTTTGATCCTGCAGGATTTAGGATGTCTGAAAGATTTGGGAGTTATTTCTTACCTACTGTTCCTCAATTTCCTTAATTCATTGTTGATCCTGTGTGATTTAGTCTTTAATTAATTAACAAGACTTTGACATATTATGACTAATTTCATTATTTAAAGTTCAGCTTAAAAGTAAATATAATCTACATATTACGCGTGTGAGATCCTGCTGATTACGTAAACAAATATTGACTTTAAAAACATAGTAATTTAACATATAGACCCCGTTTGGGTCTGTGAAATTAAAAGCCGTGAGTTCGAATCCGCCATTCGACTACTGTGCAGAACTGTCTCAAGGCAGAAATAATGTAGAGGCTATATGAGCCCAAACTAACTCTTTGAATGAAAGGACAAAAGGTTCAAAAAGGTTCTATCACTTAATATAAGTGATCTCTTTAACCAAAAAGAAGGTATTGGTCGTGAAAGGAAAAGGGGAGATCTCCCGCCGGGTAAGGTGATCAGCCCGGGGAGCGGCCAAGACTGCATGTGTCAGTACAGAGCTGTTTTATATATAGCGCAAAACTTTGGAACTTTGATAGCGTGATTTAGGCTTCGGTGCGTTTCGCTATTAATTCCAATGTTTTTTTTTGCATGTAACACTCATCACCCCTTTGTGTTACCTAGACACTCAAGGTCTAAGTCAAAATAAAAGTAATTTATTGCATTCACGAGTAAAAACAAGATGGTTTAGAAATGTACTCAATTTTTATTTTTATTTTGAGCGATTATTAGGAAATAGACGCTGCCCATCTCATGTATCAGTTTCCCTCTGTCGCCTCTTACGTCACCTATGGGAAGATATAGAATAGTGGATTCCCTGACGCCGCCATTACACGGAAAACACTTTTACGGTGCGCTCATATCATTTTTTTTGTAATGATTAGTGTATGCTGTGACTCGTATCTACATCTATTTTCGGTCGAAGAATTAAAATGCAGATGCGTTGTCACCTCTGAGGACTACAATGGACCTCCTCGATTCCAGTAAATAGGGTTTCGTTTTTTTCTTATAGAGTAAGGGTGACAAACGAGCACATAGTCCACCTGATGGTAAGTGGTTGCTGTGGCCCATAGACATCTACATCTATCTTCGTTTGCTAATTAAAATGCAGATGCGTTGTCAGCCGTGAGGACTAAGATGGAATGCCTCCTTTCCAGTAATAAGGGTATCTGGTTCTCTACACTCACCATACGAAACATAGCAGCATTAAGCTGCTATTTTACGCTGGTATTCTGTGAGAGTGTGGTCCTTCCCCGGTCGAACCGACCCATTCGTGCTACAACCGTACCACGATTCAACGATGACTAAAATCGGTTTATATTTTTAGAAATAGTCCATTCACAACAAAGAGATATGACATCAACATACAGCTGTCGGTCTTCGGGCTCCTCTGTCCAGGGTTTTCAAACTGGTCTTCTGCTTCTACGGCAGATTCTAGAACGTCTATGCTGTCACTGGCTCGAGTTGTTTGCAGCGTCGCCGGCATCTCTGTCTGGAAATTAAGTTTCATATATGTAGGTATGCTAGTAACGTGTTATCATCAGTCTCATCATACTGTCGACGGCGTTGGTTTAGTGGCTGTAGTGTCTACGGCGCGGGTATCGGGTTTGAATCCCACATCAGTCAAATCACCAGTTGCTATTTTTTTTGAAGTTTATTGGAGTTTAATCCTTAATCATTAATCATCGATTTTCATATATAGCCCGCGGTACTGAAATTAGGTGAGAAGCGAAAACGAGTGCTAACAAAAAGAGAAGACGTTGTGTGCCCCTCCGCGAAACAATTTCGAGCATCTTATACTGAACTCGTTTAAAGATAGCGAACTTATTTAATAGTTAAAAGTTGTTAGTTAAAAAAAATTAACTAATAATTTTCATTGTTTATTTGTTTATTCTTTATTGTACAACATGATAAAAGGATTCGAAAGGGTGGACTTAATGCCTTTTGGCATTCTCTCCCAGTCAACCCGAGACGTGTGAAATAATGTGATAGGTCCACTGAAAACCAGCGCAGTTGTTTCGGTGAAAGCATATAAGTTGAGTGAGGTCCGTTTGCATAACGCGCGTTATTATATTGTAATTTATAAGTATAATATAGATATACTATTTAAATGTCAAATTGATGTTTTATTTTATTTTGATATACTATTTTAACTGATGTGTCTAGAAATGTTAAAATTGAAGTACCTAATGATGTTCGTGGCGTGTTGCAATAAATGTTTCTTTCTTTCTCTCTCTCTCTCTCTCTATATATATATATATATATATATATATATATATATATATATATATATATATATATATATATATATATATGTATATATATATATATACTAGCTGACCAGGCAGACGTTGTTTTACCCGTTCCGACGACCATGTGTCCTAAAAAAATCCTTAAATTCTCAATAAAAAAATTGAGTGTCAATTATCGGGATAAAAACTATCCTATCTATTAAGTTTGACCAAACTGCACACATTGTGAAACATTTCATTGAAATCAGTTTCGTAGTTTAGGAGTTCATCGCGGACAAACAATGTGATACGTAATTTTTATATATAAAGATATATACATATATACATATAATATGTATGTATACAGATGGTGTAGCGATGGCTAAAATATTAGTTATTTTTTTAGACACTAAGTTGACATAAACCAATAACAACCCTATTCGAAAATCATTTGTTATCTCGTTAAGAATAAAGTAACAAACGGCACTAAATTGTGAATACGAGTACAAAATTAATTCAAAATGGTCCCACAACTTCTTAAGCACTGAACTCCAGTCGCACTTCGGGCCTCATACGCACCATTTTTAGGGTTCCATAGCCAATTGGCAAAAAACGGAACTCTTATAGATTCGTCATGTCAGTCTGTCTGTCCGTCCGTATGTCACTGCCATTTTCCCCCGAAACTATTAGAACTATGCTGTTGAAACTTATTGAGTAGATGTATTCTGTGAACCGCATTAAGATTTTCACACAAAAATAGAAAAAAAATTTTGGGGGTTCCCCATACTTAGAACTGAAACTCAAAAATTTTTTTTGATCAAACCCATAAGTGTGGGGTATCTATGGATAGGTCTTCAAAAATTATATTGAGGTTTCTCATAACATTTTTTTCTAAACTGAACGGAACTGGTTAGAACGAGATCTAGTAAGTATTTTTTAATGCATCATAAATCGTAAATTATGTTACTTGCTGCTACGGAACCCTTCATGGGCGAGTCCGACTCGCACTTGGCCGCTTTTTTTGTATAAGTAAGGTTGATGAACGACCTCTAAGTCCATACGTAAGTGGATGCTGTGGCTTGAGTTGCCAACCCTACTATACGCCTTTATTTTGCAATGACCGGCCAAAATCTCAACCATTCTGTGCTTTTTATCTTTTAAATTGAAAATGTATGGTAATGCATTATTTTAACTGATTTTACTGCGCATGCACACATTCGTAAGGGTCGATCGGTAAGCAAAAACGTTGTTGACCATAAATCACATTCAGTTTGGGATAATTTCAAATAAACGTATGAGCCTTATTTACTCGTATTTTCAAAAACTGTATTAATGATATATCATTATTTATAGTATATGTGAACTTGAACGTTAAAATTTGGCTACTTTTTGAAAAATAATGAAACAGACTGTACCTACAGCCTATGTTTATTTTTTTCGCTATCGACTATATTTTTACAGGTTAATTTTCAGATGAGTCAGTCACTCAGGGATATCCTCTTTTATCTATACAAATAAATAAAATTGGAGTGTCTGTTTGTAATATCAAAATAACAGCTTTTTACTTAATGCATAGCAAAGTATATACGGTACTTATAACAAAAAAGACATTTTAAAATTTTTTGTCTGTCTGTCTGTCTGTCTGTCTGTCTGTCTGTTTGTTCCGGCTAATCTCCGAAACGGCTGGACCGATTTTGACGGGACTTTCACTGGTAGATTGCTGATGTTATAAGGAGTAACTTAGGCTACTTTCATTTTAGAAAACGAATTAGGGTTCCACGAAAAAAAATTAAAACCCTTGCAATTGTAAACAAAATCCAATTCAAAGGTAATTAATAAAGAGAAGTAATATACATTCAACATAATCCAATGTAAACACTAAGTATAATAACATAATAATAATATAATAATAAGATATAATAATGCCCAGAACCGCGCGCGGCCCACGCGATCGCCGCCGCCATGGCCGCACCGAGAGACATTATTACAAAGACTACCTATCGCGCGGGCTCAGAACGCGCGAGCGGGCTATTGTGGATGGTTGTGTCCCAACGCGCGCCCGATAAAATTATTTTCGATTTACTTAATATTTTTTTGTTTGTTTAGGTATCTTTTATTTTTCTATCATTCCGGCTCTTAAATTCAAATTGTTTCGTTACATTTTCATTGTTTTCTAGCTGTGAGACCTTTAAGTAACAATGAATAATCAATGTATAACGTCATTTGGTTTTCTTTCATGATAATTCATTCGTATTAAGTCGTTAAGTTTTTTTGATTCACATTGGAATAGATAAATTAGTTATAGGTCATTTCATTTAGTTATGTACGTAGGTAGTTGTTTTTAAAATAAATATTTCTTACTTAGATTTGGATTTTTGTAACATTCTTTCTTTTAATTTTTTTGTTTCTTTAGGTATCTTTTATTTTTCTATTATTCCGGCTCTTAAATTCAAATTGTTTCGTTACATTTTCATTGCTTTCTAGCTGTGAGTTCTTTAAGTAATAATAAAAACCAATGTATTACGTCGTTTGGTGTTCTTTCATGAAAATTCGTTCGTATTAAGTCATTGTTTTTTTTATTCACATTGGAATAGATAAATTAGTTATAGGTCTATTTAGTTATGTACTTAGGTAGTTGTTTTTAAAATAAATATTTCTAAAAAGTCAATGTTTAACGTCGTCTGGTTTTCTTTTATGAACATTCGTTCGTATTAAGTTGTTAAGTTTTTGATTCACATTGGAACAGATAAATTAGTTATAGGTTATTTTATTTAGTTATGTACGTACCTACGTAAAAAAAATTCAATATTTCTTACTTAGATTTGGATTTTTGTAACATTCTTTCTTTTAAATTTTTTGTTTCTTTAGGTATCTTTTATTTTTCTATTATTCCGGCTCTTAAATTCAAATTGTTTCGTTACAGTTTCATTGCTTTCTAGCTGTGAGTCCTTTAAGTAATAATAAAAACCAATGTATTACGTCGTTTGGTGTTCTTTCATGAAAATTCGTTCGTATTAAGCCATTGTTTTTTTTATTCACATTGGAATAGATAAATTAGTTATAGGTCTATTTAGTTATGTTCGTAGGTAGTTGTTTTTAAAATAAATATTTCTAAAAAGTCAATGTTTAACGTCGTCTGGTTTTCTTTTATGAACATTCGTTCGTATTCAGTTGTTAAGTTTTTGATTCACATTGGAACAGATAAATTAGTTATAGGTTATTTTATTTAGTTATGTACGTACCTACGTAACAAAAAAATTCAATTCAAATTGCTACAAAACATTTTCACTGTTTTATAGCAGTAAGCGATTTAAGTAATAATAAAAAAATCAATGTTTAACGTCGTTTGATTTTCTTTTATGAAAATTCGTCCGTATTAAGTCGTTAAATTTTTTAATTCACATTAGAATAGATAAATTAGTTATAGGTTATTTTATTTACTTAAGTACGTAGGTAATTGTTTTTAAAATAAATATTTCTAAAAAGTACAATTACACCCATTAGTCATGCCTAAAAGAAAATCAAATCTCTCTAAAATTACGAAAAAGGCCAAAAGTCAAAGATTGCAACGTGAAAATGAATCACAACAGGATAAAGAAAGTCGTCTTACAAATTGTAGATTAAGGCAATCCATGTTCAGGTTGACTGAAAGTAGTTCTGAGCGGAACGAACGATTACAGTTAGATAGAACCCGTCATTCATTGTTAAGGAGTCAAGAATATCAGAAGTCTAGAGAACAGCGTCTAGAAAACGATCGTATTCGACACGCTGTCTCGCGAAGCCTAGAGTTAAGCGATTCTAGCCAGCAGCGATTAGAAGATGACCGTGTTCGACACGCTGTCTCACGAAGCCTAGAGTCAGACGATACTAGAGAGCAGCGTCTAGAAAACGATCGTATTCGACACGCTGTCTCGCGAAGCCTAGAATTAAGCGATTCTAGCCAGCAGCGATTAGAAGATGACCGTGTCCGACACGCTGTCTCGCGAAGCCTAGAGTCAGACGATACTAGAGAGCAGCGATTAGAAGATGACCGTATTCGACACGCTGTTTCACGAAGCCTAGAATCAAGCAATTCTAGACAGCAGCGATTATATGATGACCGTATTCGACACTCAGAGTCACGTTATCTAGAATCAGACGACTCTAGAGAGCAACGATTGGAAAGTGATCGTCGTCGTCACCAAAATCAACGTGAATTTGAAAGTCAAGAACAACATGACATCCGTATTACAGAGCAATATGATCGATATCATGAAACACAACGGCAGAGAATTGAGAACTTAGCACAGCTCTGTGAAAGTGTGAGTACCATTCGTCAGTCAGAAACAAATTTTGATCGAGAAACGCGTCTGGTTACTGCCAGACAAACGACAAGTGCAATGCGGCATATTGAAAGTGAAGAGAACCGACGACAACGACTGAATAATGACCAAATAAGAAGAACTAATAGACGTAATATAGCATGGCGAGAAAAACATAACAGTGGATTCAATTATAATGCCCAAATAAATTATTCAGCTGCATCAGAGATAGGCCCTATGAATGTATGTTGCAACTACTGTAAAGCTTTAAGGTGGAAAGATGAGTCAAAAGGAATTTGTTGTTCTTCTGGAAAAGTGCGCTTGGACTCTATACAGCAGCCACCTGAGCCACTTAAGTCTTTGTTATGTGGCGAACATGATCAATCTCAACATTTCCTAAATAATATTAGACGTTATAATTCGGCTTTTCAAATGACTTCTTTTGGGGCAAAAGAAGTTCACGAAGGAAATTATATGCCCACGTTTAAAATACAGGGGCAGGTGTATCATTTAATTGGTTCCCTTCTTCCAGTAGATAATGCGAGAGAATCATTTTTACAAATATATTTCATTAGCGATTATTTACTACAGAGAGACGCAAGATTACAGTGTTTTCCAAATTTAAACCCTTTGTTAGTAGAAAGCTTGCAAAGTATGCTTATTGAAATAAACAGTTACATTCGTGATTTCAAAACTGCTCTTCAATCTTTCCCGCCAAACTCAAATGACTATAAAATAGTTATACATGCTGATCGACGACCTTCAACAGAGCATAGAGGTTGCCATAATGAACCGACAACAAACGAAGTATCTGTGTTACTGGTAAATCAAGATTGTGATAAGCGAGACATAATAATTCGCAGACATGATAATAGATTGCAGAGAATCGCCGAAACTCACAGATCCTATGATGCTCTACAGTATCCCCTAATGTTTGTTTATGGGGAAGACGGATATAACTTTGCGATCTGTCAAGTCGACCCCAACACAGGCCAACCAAATTTCCAAAAAAAAGTTTCCGCACTACAATACTATTGTTACCGATTGATGATTAGAAATAATGAGTACAATCATTTGCATAATTACAAACAATTATTTAATCAATATTTAGTGGACGTATACGCTAAAATCGAAACGGAAAGACTCATTTTTATACGAACTAATCAAAAAAAGCTTCGAGTTGAAAATTATATTCACCTGCAAGACGCAATCAATCAGAATGAAAATGTAGAGGACTTGGGCCGGTTAGTTATTCTACCTTCATCGTTTACAGGAGGGCCTAGATATATGCACCAACGCACACAGGATGCGTTTTGTTATGTTAGAAAATATGGACGTCCCGATCTTTTCATAACGTTCACGACAAACCCTAAATGGGATGAAATCACATACGAACTTTTTACAGAACAGTTGACTTCTGATCGACATGATGTTGTAGCGAGAGTTTTTAAACAAAAACTAAAAAAAATGATGGATCTCCTGGTAAAAGGAAACATTTTCGGTTCCGTTCGCTGTTTTATGTATAGCGTAGAATGGCAGAAGCGTGGTTTGCCCCATGCCCACATTTTGGTATGGTTAGAAGCAAAAATAAGAGCTGAGCAAATTGATGATGTTATTCGAGCAGAATTGCCAGACCAAGAAGTTGATCCAGAGCTATTTGATGTTGTAAAAACCCACATGGTACACGGTCCATGTGGCCTTTTCAATTCTCAATCTCCGTGTATGAAGAATGGTATTTGTAGTAAAAGATTTCCTAAATCTTTTAGTACAGAAACTGTTACAGGTGAGGATGGTTATCCATTTTATAGACGTCGTTCACCTGAAAACGGTGGTAAACAAACTACAATCCGATCACGAGCTAACTCTATCAATATTGACAATCGCTGGATTGTTCCATATTCACCGGTACTGTCGCGAACTTTTAGAGCACATATCAATGTTGAACTTTGTAACAGTGTAAAATATATAAAATATATTTGCAAGTATGTCAACAAAGGCTCCGACTTGGCGGTATTTGGTGTACAAAATGCTAACGATGAGGTGACATCATATCAAAATGGAAGATATATTAGTACTTCTGAAGCAGTCTGGCGCATATTATCATTTTCGATTCACGAACGTTTCCCCGCAGTAACACATCTGGATATTCATTTAGAAAATGGCCAGAGAGTTTATTTTGATCCAAAAAATGTCCGTGGAGTGGTAGAAAATCCGAGAAATACGACATTGATGGCGTTTTTCGATCTATGCCATAACGACGAATTTGCAGCTACTTTATTGTATGAAGATGTACCAGGTTATTACACATTTAACAAACAAAATGGAACATTCCAACGGCGACGCCGAGGTACTCCTGTGGAGGGTTATCCTGGCATATTTCACGAGCATACTCTTGGTAGAATTTATACAATTCATCCTAATAATCGAGAATGTTATCATCTAAGGATGTTATTAAATGTTGTCAAGGGACCAACTTCTTTCGAATTTCTCAAGACTGTGAATGGTATTTTACATCCTACATATCAAGCAGCATGTCTTGCACTTGGTTTACTAGAAGGCGATAATCACTGGTGCGACACATTAACAGATGCCAGTATAAGCAGCAGCGCATCTAAATTGCGAGAGCTGTTCGCCATTATATTGGTATTCTGCAATGTTTCTAAGCCCTTTGAGTTATGGGATAAGTTTAAGGATAATTTCATAGAAGATTATGTAAGAGACTTCCAACGACTTTACCCCGATGCAGACATAAATCTTCATTTAGATAACTTTACTAATCGTGCTCTGCTTGCGTTACAAGACATCCTTTTTTACATAGGCGGTAATACTCTCCCTTATTATGGTTTACCACCTCCACAAGCATCCGATGGAATTGTTGATAATTTAAACAGAGAATATATTGAACACACAAATTTTGATCCAGTTGAACTTCAACATATGATAAATCAGAATGAACCAAGATTAAACAACGAACAAAATCAAGTTTACCGACTCCTTATTGACAGTGTGAATAATGCAAACGCTGGTGGTGTATATTTTTTAGATGCTCCAGGTGGTACCGGTAAGACATTTTTAATTAATCTTTTACTGGCCAGAATACGTTCAGAAAAAAAAATTGCTGTAGCAGTTGCATCTTCGGGAATAGCTGCCACATTACTTCCAGGGGGGAAAACAGCACATTCCATGTTTAAAATACCGATAGAAGCAGAGCGTATGGAAAATCCAGTTTGCAGTATATCGAAAAACAGTCATAAAGCCAAAGTATTACAAGATTGTGCCTTTGTAGTGTGGGACGAATGCACTATGGCAAACAAAATTTCAATCGAAGCCGTGAACAGAACAATGCAAGACCTAAGAGGTAATACTCTATTATTTGGAGGAGTAACATTTTTATTCGCTGGAGATTTTAGGCAAATATTACCAGTGGTGCCTAAAGGTACGCGAGCGGATGAAATTAACGCCAGTTTAAAACGTTCAGTATTGTGGAGACATTGTAAAAAACTTCATTTAAAAGAAAACATGAGATCACATTCAGCCGATTCAGAATTTAGCAAAATTCTCCTTGATGTTGGAGAGGGGAAGTGTCCAGAAGTGAATGATAATCATGATATAGAACTACCTACCGGTCTTTGCAAGGTAGTGGCGGACACTGAAACTTTAATACATAGTACTTATGATGATGTTCACAATCTAAATATAAAAGAAGATTCGTGGTTGTGTGAACGATCAATTTTAGCACCAATTAATGACCAGGTTACTGCGCTTAATCAACTTATTTTAGATAAGCTTCCTGGTGAATCACAGACATACCCTTCCATCAATACAGTTTGCAATCCGGATGAAGTAGTTAATTATCCAACAGAATTTTTAAACAGTATAAATATGCCTGGTCTACCCCCTCACAAATTGGAACTTAAGATTGGCGTGCCCATCATACTTCTCCGTAATTTAAATCCACCGAAACTTTGCAATGGTACTAGATTGCGAGTAGTGTCATTGCAAAGAAACATTATAGAAGGACGCATAATATCCGGATGCAGAAAAGGTGAGACAGTATATATACCACGAATTCCCATAATACCGTCGAATTTTCCCTTTGAGTTTAAAAGACTGCAATTTCCTATCTATGTCAGCTTTGCTATGACAATCAACAAGTCACAAGGGCAAACGTTGAGCAAAGTTGGCATAGATTTAACTAAGGGTTGCTTTACCCATGGGCAGCTATATGTGGCGTGCTCACGTGCTAGGGATGCCACTAGCGTTATTGTTTTAGCCCAAGAAAATCGTACACCAAATATTGTGTATAAAGAAATTTTACAGTGAGGTTAGAAAAGCCAAAAAAGGAACAAAAACCAACGAAATAAATAAAAAGAGTTACAAAAAAAGCACTAAAATGTTAAAAAAAATATTTAATTCTACGTGGACGAAGTCGCGGGTAAGGCGGATTTTTGTTAAATATATGAAAGTTTATAAGGTACTTATAACAAAAAAATCAATTTTTTAAATTTTTGTCTGTCTGTTTGTTCCGACTAATCTCCGAAACGGCTGGACCGATTTTGATGCGCTTTTCACAAGCATATAGCTGATGTTATAAGGTGTAACTTTTATATCTATACAAATAAATAAAATTGAAGTGTCTGTTTGTAATGTCAAAATTACATTTTTTTACTAAATGCATATGAAAGTAAATACGATACCTATAACTAAAATACAATTTTTAAAATTTTTGTCTGTCTGTCTGTCTGTCTGTTTGTTCCGGGTAATCTCCGAAACGGCTGGACCGATTTTGACGGGACTTTCACTGGCAGATAGCTGATTTCATAAGGAGTAACTTAGGCTACTTTTATTTTAGAAAAAGAATCAGGATTCCGCGCAGAAACATAAAAACCCTAACACGCGAACGAAGTCGCGGGGAACAGCTAGTATAATATATAGATTAGGAAGTATGATTAAATATTATCTGCTACGTTACACATACTACATAGTAGCTTTGCTTTATTATGCAGCGGGCGATAAGGAGCTGATGAGGAAGCAGTTTTGTACCTTTAAAGTATTTAGTTTACATAATGATTTCATCCTCCTTTCCTCAGTCCCCCGTGACCACGGGTGCTGGAAAGCACCCGAAACGTCGGGAATATAAAAAAAAAATAATTTAATATACGCGATAAAATCCGTAAAATTAGTTTTAATTAAATGTATTTAGTTTAGATCCAATAAGGCCCCAATTTCATTTTTGCCCCGGGGTCATAACTACGCATGTGACCCTGTATAAAAAAGATAAGTTGTTTTCACGTTGAGCACACGAACGCCCATAACTGTCATTTTGTCCGCAGTCGGCTAATGAGTGCAAGGCATGATGCCATTATGTATGTTCGTGTACGCGTAATTGCAAATCTTGCGTAATCGCACCGTAAACGTGTTTTATTAATTATTTGTAAACGTCTGTTGGGTTCTATGTGAATTTATTGATACCCGTGCAATGACATAGTATTGAGATAATGCCGCTTGGGGCCGCCAATACAGAAAATGCAGTGTCTTTAGCCCCCCTCCCCCCAGCTTTGTAAGTAATAGTAAAAAGTTACGACCTTTACATGTTCTTCCCCACATTTCTGAGAGTTTTAGGGGAAAGAAATGTCTACCGCGCTGTCCCTATGTATATTGGCGGACTTCACGTGTCTGCGAAACATTTATTCCATTTCACAGACATGCAGGTTTCTTCACGATGTTTTTCTTAGCCGCTGAGCACGTGATAAATTTGTACTTAAAATAGCTTGTAGCCAGTGTTGACGTATGGATCTGAGACGTGATTGTATTAGAAAGCTCAAGGTCACTCAGCGAGCTATGTATAAGGCTATGGATAAGGCTCTGCTCGGAGTTTCTCTGTATGATAGACTTCGTAAGAAGGATATCCGAAGCAGAACCAGAGTAACTGACATGGCGTAATGGATCAGAAAGCTGAAGCAGTAATGAGACGTATAGGTCGAAGAACTTAAAGGTCGAAGTTCTTACGATTGTTTAACTTTTTTTTGTAATACGTTACTTTGTACCTGGTTTAGTAACTGAATTTACGTGTTTGATTGGAGAAATAAATAAATGCTTTATCTATCTTATCTATCTATCCAAGAACCGACAACTATTGCAGAGTAATAGGTGTGGCAGCCTCGTACCAGTTAGCTAAGTGTAGGGTGGGATTAAATGGCGTTACGGCCTGGCAAGAGAAATACTGGAATCCAAAAAATGTTTTATGCATGATTACCATATGGTTCTTGTCTCCAGATTTGAATACCACCCGCAGTTTGAGAAACAATGGTCTAAATGATGGCAAACACTGTGTTTCCGGTGTAAAATATCTAGGAAGGAGACCATGATGGCACAATTCCCAAGTAAATCCGGAAGTCGCGATTAGATAATTACACAAACAATCTCTCATGAACTCACCTGCATTTCATCGTCGTTGCGCGCGCTGTGATTAAAATAGATATCCTCAGGCACAATGTCTTTGACTTTGTAAACATTATTGTCTATCGTAGACAATGAAACACCCTCAGTAGCGTCAGCAGCATCGATCATGGTTAATTCAGTTGCGTCATTATCGGTTTTGTCATTTGAATTTCTATTTGGTTGACTGTACTCATTGAAGTCAACATTTTCCTCACTTGAATTTTTGAGTCCGAGAGTCTCTGGTATCTCTGACTCGGGCGTTGCAGCTGTTGTGTCTATGGTTTGATTAGAATCTATTGTTCTTTCTAGAGATGCATTATCTGCTTCATAATCGGCTTCTATACGCTTGTCGTAAATGATCGCATCTTGGTGCAATGCACGACCAGTATCTATGGTTTTTATTTGGCTTTCCTCGGCCACCGCGTCCGTATCGTCGCTTCTTAATTTAGTTACCCTGTCAACTGTTTCTTCGCTTACTTCACCATCATCACGACCTTGTAAAAGATGGGCTGCGCTTTCAACGTCTGTAGGGTAGTTTTGTGGGTCGTACACTTCACTGTCACTAAAAACACTACGACCGAAAACACTCACTAGCACTAACACTATTATTGTCAATTTGTCGTTGCACTTCAAGCACGCCATTTTGAAACTCTTAGCCTTGTTTCAACACACACTCATGTCTTGTGTTCGGTTGTGTATCTGAAAATAAAAAGTACACTTAATATATTTCGCTACAATGTTCATAATTGTAGAATATAATAAACGAGATAAGTATATTATGTTTTATTACGTACGTACGTTTAAAATTCATATAAAGTATTTTACAAAATTATTGTAATGAGTAAATTATTGTTGTGTATAAATTATTGTTGTGTATAAATTATTGTAATGTACAAATGTACTTTAGTCTAAATAATATGTAACACCGCTGGGTTTCTTGCTGATTCTTGGTTCTTCCTAGAACAGAGGTGGTAAATAAATAATTAAAAATTTTGTACAACCGACTTCAATATAAAATATTAAGAATAAATCAATAACTATTGGTCTGACCTTGATCAAATTACACATATAAAAAAAACATACAGTCGAATTGAGTACCGTCTGCTTTTCTGCTTCCAAAAAGGATATATCAATTCTCATACTATATATCTCACTATACTATACTCAATTCGACTGTATGTTTTTTTTTTATGTGTTACCTCATAACTTTTTACTGGGTGAACCTATTTCGATGATTCTTTTTTTATATGAAAGCTGATACTTCTCGTGTGGTCCCATATGAATTTGATTAAGGTCAGACCGATAGTTTTTGAGTTATTCGTAATAACTTATATTGAAGTCGGCTCTACAAAATTTTTAATTATTGAAGTCGGTAGAAAATGACTTTCAATTACTAGTATCTATGTAATAATCTATCTCTATATATAAAAATCAATTGCTGTCCGTTAGTCTCACTAAAAGTCAAAAACGACGCGACCGATTTTGATAAAAAAATTGTGTGTATTTGAATGGGTCCCCGAATGATCTAAACGATTCACAAATTAAATTTTTAATTAAATTTTAATACGAGGGTGGATTGAAAAGTACTCGGCCTAACACAGATCCATTCAATTCTAAAAATCAAATCTACCCAGATTATTTAGTTCAGTTCAGACTAGTTCATTGTGTGAAGTTCGAAACGTGTGCGATAATTAGTTGTGATTTTATAAATTTATTAACAAAGTAATCGGACATAATTTCCGCGAATGGAGCAAATCGAGCAGCGTGCCGTCATTAAGTACCTCCATAAGAAGGGGCTATCATCAAAAGCCATCCATGATGACATGGTCAGTACATTAGGCGATTGTGCTCTGTCATATTCATCCGTCAAAAAATGGATAGCAGAATTTAAGCGTGGTAGAGAGAGTGTGAAAGATGAACCCCGCTCTGGAAGGCCTTCGACGTCAACTACTGACGAAAATATTAAAAAAGTACTTGATTTAATAATGGGAGACCGCAGATTAAAAATTAGAGAGATAGCCGAGATTATAGGCATCTCTTATGAACGAACTCAAAACATCATTGTCAACGAGTTGGGTTTCCACAAGGTGTCTGCGAGGTGGGTTCCGCGACTGCTTTCAGTTGAACAAAAAAGGACGCGATTGACTATTTCACGCGACTGTTTGGAGTTATTTGAAGCCGATGCAGATAATTTTTTGAATCGTTTTGTTACTATGGACGAAACATGGGTTCATTACTGTACACCGGAAACAAAACAACAATCAAAACAGTGGAGAAGACCTGGTTCACCACCCCCTAAAAAGGCTAAGTCGATTTTGTCGGCAAATAAGGTGATGGCTTCAGTATTCTGGGACTCGAAAGGTGTGATTATGATTGATTATCTTGAAAGGGGTCATAATATAAACTCTGATTACTACTGCACCTTACTACTTCGTTTACGAGAGGAAATAAAAGAAAAACGTCGAGGAATGCTCAGAAGAAAAGTCCTGTTTCATCAAGATAACGCCCGTGTTCACACGTCAGTACAGTCAATGGCTGAAATTCACAACTGTGGCTTTGAACTGTTACCGCATCCGCCGTATTCACCTGATCTGGCACCATCAGACTTCTTTCTGTTCCCTAACCTAAAAAAGCACTTGGGAGGTCAAAGATTTTCGACAAACGACGAGGTCAAAGCAGCTGTAGACGCATATTTTGACTCTAAGGAAGAATCATTTTTTTCAACGGTCTAAATGCTTGGAAGGGGAGGTGGCAAAAGTGTATTGAACTTGATGGTGATTATGTAGAAAAATAAAAATATAACTGATTTAGTATTTGTTTATTTTCTTGGTTAGGCCGAGTACTTTTCAATCCACCCTCGTATTTGGTAAATTGGAACGAAAAGTGTACACTAAAAGATAAGAATTGCTAGCATTTAAACTAGGCCAAGCCTGTGTCTTCAGACCTTTCTTCCTTGAAGTAAATTAACATAGGATATACACTTAAATGCTAAACATAGGATATACACAAATTACTACTTTTTGATATCGTGCTAATAAGGTGCTTATAATTATTTAAAAGTGTTTTATTTTAATTTAAGTTTAAAATTTTGGAAATCAGCTCATTTTATTATTGTAAATAGATCTTCAATGTCATCCATCATAGGTTTGTGATTTAAGCCAAACTGTCAACTTTTTTTTGCAAACAAATGGACCCGGGTAGGCGGCGCTGTTGCCGAGTTCCAGAAATCTACGGTAAACGGTTACTACACGTATACACGCAGTGTAAGAATATCCACTACCCCACACCTTCCCGTGGGTGCTGTAAGGGTCGACAGGGAAACTGAGACAGGCGATGAACAGCAATATCTTCCTGATAACGACTCACTGATAGTAGAAAACTGCGGTTGCCAAACGTGGCAACTATGGCATATATCCCCCCTATGAGGCAATCAATGGGGAAGGTTTATGTTAAGCAGTGAACTTTTATAGGCTGTAATGGACCACGTAATACATAACCGGTTAGACAAATGCGACGCGGTAAAAATTCACGAAGTGTTTATTTTCGTGTAGTTAAAATATAAAATTCGACGGAAAGACGAAAAAAAAATATTGAAATTCGGTTTCATCACGCACCGGGCGCACGTGCTCAATTAAGGCCCGTGGTTCGATTGTGGTTGCACAAAAAATATTCGGTTGGTTGCATGTTGGGTTCCGTAGGGTTTTCAAGTTAATGGTTTATCCTTTTATTGTGGTTACCGCTACAACGTATCAAAAGTTAACTGCTGAATATAGGCCTCCCTATAGATTGCCTTATAGGAGATATATGCCATAGTTGTCACACTTACACGTGCTAGAGTAGAGCCATGCTGCAAGGCAAGAACGAATAGGATTTTGCTACGCTAAGACAGTGCGATTTACCATCTAGGGCTGCATCACCACATACCACCAGGTGGGATTGTGCTCAAGCACTGCCTTATAATAAGTAAAAAATAGCTATATTATGGTTATAGCAGGAATGGGTCGGCTCAATCGGAAAAGGATTCTCTCTCACAGGATACCAGCGTAAGATAGCAGCTTTTTGCTGCTGTGTTTCGTATGATGAGTGTAGAGAACCGGAGACCCTTTTTACTGGAAACGAGACATTTCACCTTAGTCGTCAGGGGTGTTAACATAGACATATTGATTCTTAATAGAGGATAATAGATGTCTATGGGGCACAGCATTCACTTACCATTAGGGGAACTGTGTGCTTGTTTGTCACTATTAGTTTATAAATAAAAAAACTTCCCGGACGACAACCGCAGCCTTTTATTATTTAGTTGTTATTGGAAGACATTGTCCATCTCCTGATTTGCTTCCATCTGTCGCCTCTTACGACACCCACGGGACCATAATAGGGTAGGATGTTGATTCTCCTACGCTACCACTGTACGGCTTACTACATTAACTATAAGAATAATATATTCCTAGCTGACCAGGCAGACGTTGTTCTGCCCTTTCCGACGACCATTTGCTTTCCTAAAAAAAACTCCTGAGATTAGCAATAAAAAAATTGAGGGTCACTTATCGGGATAAAAATTATCCTATCTCTCAAGTTGGACCAAATTGGCACATAGTGTGCAAAATTTCATTGAAGTCACTTCATCGCGGACAAACAATGTGACACGTAGTTTTTATATATAAAGATAATATATTGTAATACTGTGTGTGTTTTATACACATAATATTACTTTTCCCTGTTTCTTTTTTCAATCTTATCCGGTAGGTGGCGTTGTTGTCGAGATTCAGAAATCAACCGTGCGAAACCGGGGCGGGTCGCTAGTTTAATAATAAAACAATAACGGTGACGGTTTTCGCTACAGCTCAGTGTAACCCCAAATGGGTCCCCGAAAAATCGGGGACCACATTCTGACATAACGATCAGTGAGTCACTCCCCGGTCCCTTCGAGTTATTCCGAGTAATGATGCAACCTAAGACAGGAGCTGTTTTAAATTCGCTAGCGATTGACTGCGGTTACACACGGATTTCGATACGTATGTAAATATTCCAAGTATTTGCCAAGATTTTTACGTAGTAGAGCCGTCCTGCAGCTATATTAGTGGGTAGGTATAGTTGTAGCACGAATGGGTCGGCTCGACCGGGGAAGGACCACACTCTCACAGAATACCAGCGTGAAATAGCAACTTAACACTGCTGTGTTTGTTTCGTATGGTGAGTGTAGAGAACCGGAGATCCTTTTTACTGGAAATGAGGCATTCCATCTTAGCCCTCACGGGCGACCACGCATCTGCATTTTGGTTCGTAATCGAGGATGGATATAGATGTTTTTGGGCCACAGAAATCTCTTACCATCAGGTGGACTGTGTGCTCGTTTTTCATCCTTATCTTATAAAAAAAAAAACTGTGCTGCTTGGTGTTAGATTAAAGTTGGTACCTTTCTTACAGTCCTGAATTTTATCCCTACATCTCTTAAACCATTTCACAAGCCCATTGCTGATCACAGGTCTCCTCCAAATAATGTTAATCACGGTGCTGAATCACCTGCATCCATCGACTATCTGTCTTACCAGTTTGTTACTACATCTAATGATGGACCGCCCTACATCACGCCTACCGGTATGATTCTGCCACTTGAGCACCTTTCTTCCCTATCGATTATCGGTTCCTCGAGCTATATGGGTCATTGCCAATGAAAACTTTGAAATATAATATTGCTA